CCTGCAAGGCAGCGGGGAGTGGGGAGTGGAAGAAGCCCAGGGCAGAGCGCTTCTGACACCCGTGGGCAGGTGAGTTTCGGGGATTGTCCCCACCTGTCGTGGAGGGAACGTGTTAGTTGTCCCCCACTTAGAGCCCCGGGCTGGGACCCAGTGGAGAGGGCGGGCCCAGGTCCCCCACACCTCCCTCCTTTTTGTCCCCGCTGCCTCAACCTACCCATTAACTACGTCACGCCGTAACTTCTGGGGAGCCAGGTGACCTTGAACGCGAACCGAACGCTTGATATTCCATCTCCCCCTCCCCGGGGAGGACCTTTCCTAGGAACTGGCCCCTGGAAATCCCCCCTACCCTACGGGACCCCGGGACCTTAACAAGGGCGGGGCAGTGAGTCCGCCGAACCCCGGCACCGACTCGGCACCGGGCGATCGCACTCACGTAGCCCTTCCTGGGCAGAAAGACACAGACAGTGGGTCCGCTGAACCCCCCTGCCCCGTCGGAAGGGAGCACTCGCACCCGGTAAATCTGTCACAGTGGGAATGAGACCATGTAAAGACAGAATAAGGTGCTAGGACAGTCTCTGACCCTGCTGAGTTCTTGGCCCCCATGGGAACTTGTGACATCCGCTGAGCACTGATGCCCATTACCTGAGAAAAAGCTGCTGTCATGGTTTCTTCCAGCTTATCTGTCAGCTTCTCAGCAAGATCTGTCCAGACCTGAAAGGCAGATTTCTGTGAGGGCACCAGAATCAGGTTCTCATCCACCTTTGTACCGTGTAAGGAGAAGATGACAAGCCAGCAGAGGGAAGGAGAACAGGAGGGAGACAAGAACAGCTTCAGAAAGGGTGGACTCCCTGTAGCTTCAAGCCAACAGCCTGGTACTGTACCATCCAACTCCCTGTGGCCCTGGTGCTGTACAGACCAAGCAGCCCTGCCCACATGGTACCCACCCCGATTCTCACTCGTACCTCAATAGGTGCCAGGATCTCAGCTCTCTTGCGCCTCTGCTCCTCCCGGCAGCGCCGATACTCTGTCCGTATGGCCTCCCTTGCTACACGGCCCTTCAGCTGGTGGACGAAGGCCAGAATCTGCAACCACAGCAAGATTTGGGTATAGCAGGATGCAGAGGTGACCCTACCTCACACTGGCAAGGAAAGGTGTGGCTGGGTGCTTCTATCCCAGCGGAACCATGCAGCTTGTGCTGAGTGTCCGAGCCACCTCTCCCAGAACCACTCTGGCTCCAGACAGCACGGAGTTCATGGCTTGAGCTTCCAAAAGGGCTGCACGACTAATAAAAACCCCAAACAAGCTTTAGGTCTCAAAAGCCAACACAGAAGACAGCTGCAGCTAGGCACCATGGCGACAGGAACTAAGCTATCAGGGCAGAAAATGCCAGAGCAAGAGCTGGCAGGGACCCCTCCCCCCAACTCAGGATGTTAAATTGCAAGTAATTGAATAATCGAATAGTCCACGCATATTGCTTCGATTAGTCTACAGGGTGCCTCCTCCCTAGGGCTGTTGCTACACTTCAAAGGAAAAAGCACCGCATGGAGCCTGGGGTCAGGCTCCACGCAGCATTTCAAAGTGGCAACACTCCAGCTGATTCAAGGCTCCACACGGGTTTGAACTATTCCCTCCCCCCCGCCTCTGATAGAGGCTACAAGGAGGAGTGGGGGAAGTAACTAGTCTGACAACTATCCAATAACAACTGGCCCCTCAAATCCCTATCTCCAACCAGGCAAGGGATCGGGCACCATCTCTTGGGCCTGGCCTGGCCACAGTCACCAGCATGGCTGGGACCAGTCCCTTTGTTCCCACTCACCTCAGCTGCAGTCCTACGGGGCAAATGCTCCCGCAATAGCTCTGCCTGCAGGTCCCCGGGAGGGGCCTGGGCTTTCAGAGCCCTGATCAGGCGCCTCTTCTCCCCTGCAGTCCAGGGGACCCGGGCTGGAGCGAGGCCTGCAGAGGGGCCCACGTCATAGCGGCTGGGGGCTGAGGGAGTCCGAACAGGTGGCTTCATGGCTCAAGCTCTGCATGGGGAGACAAATAAGGAGTCAGGGGTCAAAGGCCCAGACTTGCCCATCAACTCACAGAGCCCCCCCGCCCAGCCTGTTCTCTCAGCACCATGAGTTAGAAGAGGATGTGGACCCTCCCTCAGCACAATGGCAGTCCCATTGTAGTACACAGACCTCCACTTCATCCCCCCACTCCCACCCCCAGAGCACCACTGCCCCGCCCTC